TATGGCAAGAAAAACCATTTTTGCATTCGAAAACCATTTAAAATACCTATTTATCCATTTTACATTTAAAATGGATTCGAAAAACCTATTTTGCATTTTGCATTTTAAATACATTTTTTAAAAGTATTTTACAATTAGTATTTTAAATGGAATTCGAAAGGCATTTTACCCAGCCCTGCAGGTTCGCAGTTATCCAAGAAGACTAGAACTAAGGAGGATCAACTCGTGCCAATAGCGGTAGTGGGGGTGAGGCAAAAAGTGGCGACGGATAACTTCCCCCACTCTTGCGCTTCATTAGTCCTCTCTGTCGCTCTATATAGTCGTCGCTCTGTCGTTCTATAATCGTCACTTTGTCGCTCTTATATCGAACTTTCACACAATGCGCAGTGCCGCTGCACATCGTGTGAATAGCCGTGGACGTTTTTTGACTCACCCCCACCACGCGAGTTGATCCTCCTTAGTTCTAGTCTTCTTGCAGTTATCGTTCGTTGGTCCGTCGCGTTCGATTCGACTCAGTTCAAATCAGTTGATTCAACTACCGCGAAGCGTCGCGCGCGCAGGACGAGAATACTTGTGAAGTTGCGCGCGGGTGGGGACGAGTTCGAGGGCGTCGGACAAAGGTTGGTTGCGTTGAGCGGCCGGCCGGCAGCGCATTTGCGACTCAAACATGGCAGCGGCTACCAGCGTTGTCGTGCTCGACAGGGGCAACAACACCACCTGCACCATCAATTTACACGGTGTGTGTATGTGTGTGTGTGCGTGCGTGTATGTGTGCGTGCGTGCATGTGTATGTGTGTTGATGCATGCGTGCGTGCGTATATGTATATATGGGTGCGCTATGGAAGTGTCGCGCGCGAAATCGCGAAGAAACGCGACCGAGAGAATCGCAACGAGATGACTGAAAGCCAGCGAAACGTTTTCGCGCGTCGCGAGTTTACGCGTCAGTCGCACTGCCGTTGCCAGTTGCCGCGTTTTGACGCGCGGCCGACAAAGCTCTATGTACGTACGTGCGTGCGGGCGTGTTTTGTGTGAATTTGCGTCTCCGCTCTCGCGGTTATTCCTTGGCGCGATTTAGACACGGCGACGGCGATGTGTTATCGTCGTCCGGGTGCCCCCCTTCACGTGTCATCGTCAGCGTGCACCCTCCGCGCTTCCACGCGATCGCTCCGATCGATATTCTGATCATGATTTTCCATTTTGCAGGAGCCACCGTAGTGTCCTGGCGGGTGAATAACCAGGAACAGCTGTTCGTTAGGTAAGTACACGCATGAGATTCCATAACTGCATGATAGCACTTTGACAGACAAATCGTAGCTCCCGCAAACGTCTCCCGCGATTTCCTTTCGAGTAACGCGATTCCAATTAGCGCGTATTGCTTTTTAAATTTAACTTTCGCATTTCCTATATTTATTCGATCAGGGATATATTTTTTTAAATTATAAAGTATCTTAAAGAAAAGAAATGATATGTTAAAATCGGACGTATAGATTGGTTAAAATCTTGCGTAATTGTTAACAGACGTTCAAAAGAAAATACTAAACTTAATAAATATTAAATTTAATGTTAATTTGAAACCTTAATGTGTGTGAGTATTAAATTTAATATTAAATCTCTTAACACACACACACACTAGAACCGCGGATCTAAATTAACTTAATCGCGATTCAAGGTAAACCTTTTTACGAGAAAGAGTTGTCATCATAAAAGTAAAATTACATACATTCATTATGATTATTTGAAATGAAAAGTCACAAAAGTCTAAAGCTCCACGTGCAAATCCTAATTAATTCAAAGAAAACTATCAGATAGATAAAAATATGACACACAGCTGCGATTTTAGTGTTAATATTAAATCTTAATTTTAATTGCTATATTTAATATTTACGCGATTAAATTTTGCTCCTTGTAATCAGATTTAATCTAAATCTGATTATAAGAAGCAACATTCGGGGATCGCGTGAATATTAAATATATTAATTAAAATTCATGTAAACAGATTAAATTTTAAAGTCTATTATGTTTAAAGTCTAATATATTTATAGAAAAACATTTCAAAAAGATGCCGATTTTTCGTGAATCGTCCTGTATAGGTCATAATACGCGATATAAGAACTGTTGAAATAAACGTTGACGCAAGTAGTAAGGTTGCGTGCGAGGTTACGCATCTTAGATGAGATAGAATGCATTTAGCTTGATCATACATTACGATGCAAAATTATTATTAGCGTGGAAAGAGCATTTACATGAGCAGTCTATCGCAGAAAATTAAACGGATAAAATAATTAAGATCATAGAAAGTTACGAAGCGACGTAAACTGGTAAAAATTCAATGAATTTTTTAACGTTTCTTAATTTTAAATATCGTTTAAACCTAAAGTATTCTGTTAATGAGAAAGTAAAGGTTATATTCAATGGTTTAAGATAAATATTTGGATTTAAACTCTTAAATCGAGATAAATGTTTGGATAAAGTTTGAATTCGAAAATTATAAAGTCGAAGAATTTTCTAGTATTATTAAAAGACGAATTATCTAAAAGACGTATCGAGAAATTTTCATGACGATTGATAAAGAAGACTTTATCTAATTATGAGTTTTGAATTCAGAAACAAAATTTTAGAATTTTAGAAATAAAAGTGGGTTTATTTATTGATAAATAATATGTCTGAATACGGACCATAAAATACAATTAAAAATTTTCAACGTTTATGTCGTTGTGATCTGTTGTTCGAGACTGCAACACTGTTAAATTCATAATGCCAAATTATACTCAATTTGAATTATTTTTAATCATTTCTATAGGCTGCTACTGCTTAATATGTCGTTAATTAAAAAATGGAGTTAAATTTAATCAGTTTGACTCAAATTTTGTCTGTTATTTACTAAATATGCGTACGTTAATATGAACATTGTTGACTTTGAAATTAACCACAGAAATTTGATTTATATTTTACTACATAGAAGTTAAAAATAATAAAATATTATTTAACTAAAGGGATTAGGTTGCCATTGCTCCTTTGAGCATATCTAACAATAAAGACCTGCGCTATGCTAGTCACAGATTACTCTTCAAGATTGACACTTTCTAAATGAGAACAAAGTCTGCTTACGTGTTCCACATGCGCACAGATTGCCCAACAAATTGCTTTCAGTCGGATGGAAAAAAACGATTGCTGTCGAGTACAAGAATGAAACGATTAAAGTATCATCATCCACGAGAACAATACGTTCTCGCAATTTAAACTTGGACTGTTGTAACAGTTAATAATATCAGGCATATAAGCAAGCAAATAACGAATTATAATTTCGATGGATGCAGATCAATGCTAAAATCTGTTTCGTTCACGATGACTCACAAAAAGAGATTTCATCGCTGTACGTGACTGATTCAAGGCTCTCGCCGCGAAATGTACCGAAACGATACGCAGTTCCAATCAGACTGAAATCGGGTTTGCTCGATTATATTTTCCAGTCATCTTTTAATTTTTTAATCCAATTTAATTGTATATTCAAGATTCTGTTAAACGCGCATGTATTTACATAGTTCGTTTACACTGAAATATTAATATCGATTTATTATTTCAGCTTTTTCTCAAGCGTTGTTTTATGACCAGTCATTGCGAGTGATGATTGTTTTTTTACTATGAATAGGATGAACATCAGACTGTAACTCTCTGTATTACAAACGCGACGGCAATGCATTGAACGCCTCGGTAAGGCACAAACGGTATGCTCTTTCTCTCGTTTTAGTGTACGCGAACATTGTAAGCTTCCTTTGATATTAGGTATAAATAATCTTCCTTTTCGGATTACATAGTTCATTTTGTGCATCAAACTTCTGAAATTCTACTTACCATTGTATCGAGAGAAATCTGTACATATTTCTATCTACGTATAGGCAGTTTGATAAGTCAGTAACTTTTTGAAAAGAGAGTATGTTGAAAGATGAATCAAATTTTGGTTAAACAAAGTTAAAAAGAAGTTACTGACTGAACAAATCTATCTTCGTATTTTCCTAATTTTTATAATCTCTCTCTCTCTCTCTCTCGGAGGAGGAGGAGGAGGAGGAGAAGAAGAAGAAGATGTCTCTTTCTCTCTCAAGTAGTATCATTCTTTCGCGACAATGTAATTCCGTAGCACGAGAAGGAAGAGACAACGAGAGAAGGCGCGCGCGCGCGCGCACACCTGCCGAGAAAGAACCGCGTAAAAGCGCGGTGCCCGTGACGATCGCTTTAAAAGCGGCAGCCCGAGAGCAGACGATGAAAAAACTGACGGAGAGCGAAGGCAAGGGCGCTCTCTGGACCAGTACATACCTTATACACGGGGTTCAGGGCCCCTCGTCGCTTGCCAGTCATCGGTCCTTCCGACTGTAAAGCCGCTGTCGAGACTGGGTTTTGCAATAGATCCGCGGTTATCGGAACGATGACAACGTGAAACCGAAAAGTCATCATTTCAGTACAGTTAATTGGCGTACCAATCGTATACTTTCACCACAAAACAAACCTCGTTATTTCGGCTACGTAATAGATACTTATATGAAAGGAATTGCGATGAATCACCTGGCGAACTCGGTTATATATCTTTTTAAACAAGTCTACATAGAATCGCAATTATTTCTTCTCGTGCTACTTATTGATGTATAATTCGACTTACGGATATAATCGCAAGTCATCGTTCGGCCAGAATCTGTTGCCAGAACGTGGCCATCCAAGGAACACCGTCAAAGAATTTTAAGTAACACACATACACAATTATACACGTACACGGCGCAAGACGCTCGGCAAACACGCTCGCAATTTACTCCAATTTCCCTTGAAACGGCTGTAAAAGTTACGTCGGTATGTCCGGTCGTGGTATGATACAGATCGCGATGTACGAGATATATATTTTAATTACGAATACTACACTGAAAAAAAAATATAGTCAATTTTAATAAATATTTAATTCAATACTGCCAACTAAACATTTACTTACAGTAAATAAATATTTGTTCAGTAAAAAGAATAATTGTTAAATCAAATTAGTGTTTCTTATATCAAATAAATATATCTTTATATTTAATATAAATATTTAGTTGGCAGTATTGAACTAAATATTTATTAAAATTGACTATATTTTTTTTCAGTGTACGTATTTGATGTTTCAGAAACAAAGGTTTTAATTTCAATTATAGTAATGTTGAAGAAATTAATGCTCAACATTCGATGTTCGTTTATGGAGTTTAACAAGCAACAAAATCTCCAATGAATTTCATATTAACATTAATGAGATTTTAACTTGAGGTGTTTGGTTACTTATTAATATAAAATTTTACAGAAAGAGGCAAAATAGCTCTCGTAATAATTACAAGAAATCATTAAATTGTAAAATATTCCTCAAGTACATGTATAAAATGCACCTTGTATATATAAATTATTAATTGCATTGGCTGCGTTCGGCAGAAAAAGCAGCTTTACAACAATTGTAAAATTCTTTAATAATTGATCTTGCTCTTAGTTCCTTATTGGATCTACACTGTTAAATCTATAATGTCAAATTTAACCTAACGTGAGTCGCCACCGCTCCTATTCAATCATATCGTTACTTCATACTAAAACAATAGTTATATTTGACACTGTACAATTGACACTATATAGTGTCATATATAACTATCGTTTTGATAAAAAATAACAATATATTTAGTAGGAGCAGTGGCGACTCACGTTAAGTTAAATTTGACACTAGATTTAACAGTGTAAATGTATAAACCTATCATATTAAAGAATTTTACAACAATTGCAAAGCTGCTTTTTCTGCTGAACGCGGCCAATGCATTTAGTAATGATTATCAAATCGTGAAACGAAATTGAGTCAGTCGTTCTGAAGCTGACCGGTTGTACCGCGCACCATCGGTAACATGAGAGGACCACGTGCAGCATGTCGATCTCTTGGTTCTTACGATCCGACCGCGGATGTCGACGTGCCTTCGTCGAACATCTGCGTCCACGACGGGGCCCAAAAACGGAAATGAAGAATCGGGACGAAGTGGCGATGCGTAAACGGCGACGAACTATAGTTCGTTGATTCCATTAGCACGATAAAATAATCGGGCGAATTGCGATTTGCCGATTATTTTACAGTCACGGTAAAATAATGATGGGAGTAGGTAACTTTAGTCTGTTTTTTATTCTTGTACCAGATTGCGCTAGAACTCTTTTACCAAATATCATATCTACTTCACTTTTAGTCCCAAAAGTGTATACTTTTTTAGCCATAGA